AAGAAAGTAGTCAGGCAAATATTTAGGAATAGTTTTATGCAGAGAAAACAGCAAGTTCAAAGACCATGCTAGATTTGTTCAATAAATGATAAAACAACTAGCCTGAGTGAACCTTATAGCACAGAAGGAAAACTTTTCCCATGTCATGATATGAAATGGGAGAACAATGTAAAGAATGAGTCATATAGAGCCTGGGATTCCTTATTCAAACTGGAAGTAATTGGAGAGCTTTATATTAAGGCAGGACAAAATTTGATTATTGTTAGGAAGTTATCACCCTGGCTGCTATGTGGAGGTTGGATTATTGTCTATTCTAACAGGTAAGGATGGCTTTGAAGACAGAGTCTGTATAAATTTTGAAGGTAAACCTAAAAAGACTTGCCAATTGATTGGATATGGTAAGGATGAAGGGAAGAGAAGAATCAAGATGATTCTTAAATTTTTGGTTTGAGAATGCGAACATTGTTTTTCAAAAAAAAAAAAAAAAGAATTGAGAACTAGATAACAAACAAGAAGAAAACAGTCAAGCAAAGGTTTGGGAACAGAGTTTTATGCAGAGAAAACAGCAAGTTCAAAGACCACCAACCAGGAACCAGAAATTGGTGTAATGGCTATGTCACTGGACTCCCATGTAGTTGACCTCAGTTCGAGTCCTGGACTTGGTTGCTTAAACTCACACCGGGCACGTGTGCGTGTGTGCCCAAGATCCTGAGAGGAGAATAGAGGAGAAGGGATTGTGGCATGACCATCCCTCCTAGGGGGTGATTTCTTGCTTTCCGTCTCTCTGTCTCTCTCTGTCATTATGGTAAACACATGTGCCCTATAGCAAAAAACCTCTCTCTCAAAAAAAAAAAAAAAAAAAAAAAAGACCACCAACCAATTGGGTTGGTGATATGTTTTTGAGAATATGGATACCCAAATATGAATTGGAACTACCAACTGTAAGCTCTCTGTCGATAGAAGCCATTTCTGTTTTGTTCACTGCTTTATTTTCAGTTGACCCAGTGCCATGATGCTTCACAGTTACAAATACTTAATACATATAACAGGAATGAAACAATCAAATATAACTATTAGTTTAACCCAGTTATTCTTTTTCTTATGAAACAAACAGAGTGTGTGCACAGGAGAAAGACTGAGAGAAAAGGAGAGAGAGAAAGCACCCTTGATAGGGTCCCACCACTCTCCAATTCCCTTTCCCTAGCCTATCAACTCCTTAGGATCCTGATACCCATGCGTATGTTTTTTAGGCTAATCTGGGATTCCAACCACAGCTACCTCATGACTCCAACTCTGCAATGTACTAGCATTACCACTGTTACCACAGTGGCTAGACCCAAGATAGTAATTTTTTTTTTTAAGAGAGATTTTTGCTGTAGGGTACATGTGCTGGCTGGAGAGACAAAGAGGCAGAAAGTGAGAAATCACCCCTCAGGGAGGATGGCCTCACTGCAATCCCTTCTGCTCCATTCTCTTCTTGGGTTTTGAACATGTACACATATGTGTCCAGCATAAGTTTTAAGCTGCCGAATTCAGGACTCAAGTTGTAGGAGACCAGCAACATAACCATTACGCCATCTGCTGGGCACAATATAGTCATTTTTAATACTTTCATATTTATCATCTTTGGTCAAGGAAATGTCTGTCCTCAAGCATGATCTGGCCTCCATTTGTATATCCGGCCCTCCCTGCACTCTCCCAGGTACATATATTTTCTTTTTAACTCTTTGGTAGAACCAAAGGCTCTTCCATGTTAGGGCTTTTTACACAGTATTTTCCTTTCCTTGAGTTCTCTTCTCCCTTTCCATTCCTCTGTCTACTTCCTTTAAGTAAATTCTGCCCATTTACCAGATTTCAGCTCAAGCTTCTCTTCTTCAGGGAGACTTCTTTGATCCCATTGAGTAGATCTGTTTACTACCACTTGATAATTCTCCAGTATAGATTTACAGAAACTTCTAATTCTACATTTGTGTTATTATTTGATTACTATTTTGCTTTCCTGTATATGTGTGTGTATGTATATTTATACATGTATATGCACAAATATATGTATCTTTTAATATTTATAAGTGGGGGCTTGTACTCATCCTAGAGAGAGAGAGAGGGAGAGGGACAAAACACCCCCTGATGGGGTGTGTTCATGCCATAACCCCTTCTTCTCCATTGTCCACTTTGTTGGGCTTTGGAGCATGCATGCACACATGCCCAGTACATTTTTTTGGGACTAGGATTCATACCACGCGGTCAGCCATGTGGGATCTGGCTTACTTAGCTACCATGTCATAAGGTCAGCTCTCCTATCATCTAGGTGAAGACAACAGTAGGTGCCTAATAGAGATCAAATATCCTCATAGTCTCCAAAGTGATAAGAATTTTGGGATCTCTAAAATGCAAGATGAAAACAAGGCTTTTTAAAAATTCAGGTTGATTTTTAACTGTAGTGGAAATTAATCATAGTAGCAATAAAATGCACACCAAAAAGAGAATTTCATATTTGCAGTATCTGAAATGAAAAAACACAACAAGAGAGTTTCTACTGCACACATATCTATGATATCTATTTTTTTAATTCGAGATTATTCAGGGACTTAGACTGAATTTAATACAGTAAAAATCTAGGACACCATCAGCTTCTGGAAAATCTAGATTCAATGCTTTACCCTGAGCAGACAGAGCACGCAAGGCATCTTCAACCTAGTCATCAATGCACATTGATTTCAAGAGAGATGAGGTCACTGCTTTTCCTCCGCTGTGCCTTATTCACATGATGTGGGGAAAATATTCTCATTTCTGCTTATGAAAAAAAATCTGTCTTTTTTTACATTGCTTTGGCAATTCGCCCTCTTACACACAATTTAAAAAGTATAAAATCTACCTGTTTCCATAAATTAGCTTTTGTGATTGTTATTATTTTTAATTATGTTTTCAAGGGAATTGGAGTTTAACTTCCACCCTTGGGGACTTGATTCTCTTAAATAAAAGAGGGTGCCTGTTATTTTAATATGTATAGTGACATAAGAAGATGATTATTACTCAGCATTTGTTAATTTACTTTATTATTACTCCATGTTCCTATAACAATTTAATATTTATCAAGTACTTTCATTTATTTGATTTTCACAAAAGCATTCTGAACTATGCAGAGATTAGTATCCTCATTTTATAAATGAATGAATTAAAGCTTAAGCAATTTGCATAACTTCAGAGGTGCAAGAGTAAGTAGCATGAGCATTAGAGTCAGGAGAGAGGAGTGTAGACAGATTTTATTAGTTGCTTGCTGTAGGACCTCAGGCATCTTACTTATTAACTCCTGCTACCCCATGACCTCCCACTTTCTACCCTCACCAAGCTTCATTTACTTCACCTGTAAAAGTATGATGGTTACTATTACTTATATCATTGTTGTAAAGATTAAATAATAAGACGTGAAATTTTAAAAAATACCCAAAATGGTGTTAAGATGAGTTTTTACAAAGTCCATTTTGTTTTTAATACTATTATGCACAAAACAATAATAAAGAGGTAAAAAATACTGAGCTCTATCCTAATAAATATGGTGGAAACTTTGAAAGAAACAGCCAGCGGAAGAGTGAAGACAGATAATGTTGAGATATAGAACTCCGCAAATAGATGGAGGGTAAAGGAGCCTAGACTTAAATGTACAAGTCGAAGGAAGCAGGTGTTATGTTTTCAGATGTAGGATGTTTACAGCCTAAAAACTTAACAGAGAGGGAATTGGGGAGGCTAATGATAAAATTTAGCCTTTCATAACCAATGAGTGTAAATCATGAGGCGAAAGTAAGGCAAAACATGAGTGAAATCTGAAGATTCGCAGTGTCCCTTCTTCAAGGTTTGTTCCTTCAGGTTGAGGAGAAGGAACAAGCCAGAAAAACGTCATTCTATGTTTACGTTCTCTCTCATAAGGTCTTTGGATGTTAACAGCTATTAGCAAGCCATCCCTTAGAACTAGCAGCTCAGATGAAAGGAAATTCATGACTTTTAACTGGCTTCAAAAGGAAACTATTTATTTATTTATTTATGATATTTTGCCATAGGGTACATGTGCTTACCGAGAGAGAGAGAATGACAGATATCACGCCCAGAGAGGATGGCCATGCTGCAGTCTCTTCTCCTCCACTCTCCTCTTGAGATTTTGAGCATGTACGCTCACGCACCCAGAGTTATTTTCAGACTGCAAGGACTGGGACTTAAACTGCAGTCAGCCATGTGGGAGTCCAGCTCCTAAACCACCACTCCACCTGCTTGCCCCAAAAGGAAACATCTTAGGGTTCCCTGAAGACAGACAGAAGCATCCCACTGAGAAGATACTTAGAAGGCTTCTGTCAGAAGAGACAGTGCACATCACTCCATAATGCTAGGCATCATTCCATAAATGATTCCTTCAGAGAGACCAGGATGTGATCCTTTCACTTTCTTCTCCTTATTCTTTCTTGTTTTCTAATTTCCTGAGTCTTCCCTTCTTAAAAAAATAATTTTAGACTTCATATGACGCTCAAGGTCACACAAAAATCAGAGGAGACAGAAGTTGAATTCATGCCTGACAGAAATCTCCTGTCATTTCATTGATCCACATTGTGACTTAAGAATCTCCCCCACTCTCCAAAAGAGCTATAATTTTGCAAGGTATAATCTAAGCCTCGGTGAAATTTTAGGTATAATGTGGCATCTTTAATTTTTTTTAATATTCCTGATGGAGATGACACCATCTCCCTTAGTTCCTCTGAAATCTGAGGAGAGCAATTGTGTGAACATTAGGGATGGGAGAGAGGGAAGCACTGAGAATCTTCCTGCAGTGCTATCTCAGGTCCTTTCATTGCTGCTCCCCATTGGCAAATCATTACCCAAGAGAATAACTTCCTGTCACTGGTAGGCATTCAGTAAGGGTTCTAAAGCAAACAATGTTTATACCGTACCTAAGACAGAAGGATAATGCCCAGAGGGAAAAATATGAAGTGATGGTAGTAACAAAACGTTCTTACTTTTGAGTAAGATGAGGGTCATAGGCAGTTGTCAACGTTATCTGTGTAACTGCGGAGCAACCGTCTATCCCAGGGGTTACGAAGACAGAGACCAGGTCAGGCGGAGCGGCGGGAGGTCGCCATTCATCTTGTAATGGCGGCTGAAATAGTCCCTTGTTGTCCACCGAACACCTGTGGGAATTCAGCAGCGTGTCTGGGGAGCCAGCAAAGCGGCAGGCCCAGGGAGAATCTGATCTAACGGCCTCTTGTCTTCCCTAGCAGGGCTCTGCGTGTAGCCTCCGCAGCGTACTTTTAGTGCTGCAATGCTTTCCCCCACAAATACCAGTAGACATTATGTTCCCTTTATAGGCAACTATACATCTCCACTTTTATCTTATCCAAAAGGCGCTGGAAGTATTGATGATTTATTTTTTGCGCATTAAGCCGACAACTTAAAACACATGGATTCTCTTATCTATAACCTGTTTAGATTAATATATATATGTTCAATAAACGAAACTGTATGTATGTAAATGAATACATACAAGTATGCATGTAGTGTATACATACATCTGTAATAGAGACACATGTGTATATTATACATATGATACATTATATATGTATATAATTTTATATGTGTGTGCGTGTAAATATTTGAAACTCTGAAAATTGTATGCTGTATTTCAACCAAATGTAACTTGAAATGCATGAGACATAAAAGCTATGAAAATTGGGATTTATTAAAGCATAAAAAAAGTCTGTCTCTGTAATGGTAAATAGCAAAAAGCCTTACAGAGACAATAACTGAATGTCTGGCATGTACTTTTCCTATTCAATTCTTTTTCTTTAAATCTATTTTTTTAAAACATTCTTTGTAATCTTTGTGGAAAAGATGAAGGGAGAATCACCTTATCTGAAATATATCCATGGGCTAAGTACAATTTGATATCTGTATTTAAACTATATAAATTGGTCAGTAAACAATTACTAAGACCTATCTGACAAAAGACAAGGAGATTGGGCCAGCCAGTAGCACAGTGGTTAAGGTGTCTGGATTCCATTAGGCACTATTCGAGTCCTGGACCTGGTAACTTGAAAAAAATGTCAGACACACAGAATCCCAAGAGAATGGAGGAGAAGGGATTCTGGGGTGGTTGTTGTTATGGGGGACTGCTTTCTCACTTTCTCTCTGTCTCTTTGGCAAGTACACATACCTGATAGCAAAATTTAAAAAAAAAAAAAAAAGAGAGAAAGACAGGGAGCTCATTGATGGTGAAAAATGCAGCAGTAAACCTCTGTTCCTGCAGTTTGCTATTTGCTTGCAAAGCAAGATTAAGAACCCATAAAGGAAATTATTATACAAGACAAACTAGAATAAATTTTAGGGAAGTGGCACAGACAGATGAGTACAGGAGAAAGAAGCCTAAATTTGGATGGGGTTGACAAGGCAGGTTTTATCATGGGAATAAGATTAGTGATGTTTTGGTTTCAAAAAAGGTTAGTGGGCAGGCATTCAGGGAAGGCGAGAAGAAAGACACACTGTTACACTTCAACTCTTGTTTTTTTCTTTCATAAATAAATGTTTATTGAAACCTGCTCTATTTTTGGCTGTGTGTCAGGTGGGTGGAAGGAAGTACAGTGTCCAACAAGACACACATGTCCTTGCATTTGAAGCCTAGACTTAAGAGGTGGTCACATTATGATTTGTTTAGGCATTGGGGGAAGAAGTAGAATACTAGTTTCATCACTAAGTAGTTAAGTGACCTTCAGCTAGTTCCTAAACCTCTCTAAGATTTATTTTCCCTGTCAACAAGGTGAGACTGGTCATTGTAGTTTCCTTGTAGGGTTATTTGTGATGATTAAATCAAATAATGCATGCAAAATACTCATACAGTCCCTGGATTATAGGAATTTCCCAATATACCAAAACTCAAGTCTTCCAGGATCCACAGTCCATCCTTTTTACTATCACATTGTTTTACTTGTCATATTCTCACACCACAGTTCTTTGGTAGAGTTATTTCCTCTTTCAATCCTGTAATTTCTCTAACATTTCTCAGATATCTTATTTGATATCCATACATTAAATGTTACACTTCCTAAGTCTTCTTGCCTGTCCCTTTCTCTTATTCCACATTATTTTTAACTTGCACATTTTTAAAAACTTAAAATACCAATGGATACACGTGCTCACCAGACAAAGAGAGAAAAAGAGAATGAGCACACTTTTCAATGGGGTATGGTCGTAGTGCAATTCCTTTTCCTCTGGTTTTCCATCTCATCAGGATTTTGGTCAGTATTTTTTCAGTCTTGGGCCTGGGATTCGATCTGTGGCAGGACTTGGGGTCCAGTTTTCATGCATAGTACTTAGCAGCTATACTACGAGGCTGGCCCTTACCCCACATGTTTTCTTCGGAGAGAATGATAGAGTATCATTTGCATGTATTTTAACAGGGTTCATTCTAACGGATACATCAGAAGCAAAACATTGCAAGAAGATTTCAGAAACCAAAGCTCAAGTATTTCCTACCAAGAACACCCAATGGTGCATGGCAGCTTTGTCCAACAGATACCTGTATCACTCAAACTGCTGTATCCCCAGAGACTGGTTAACTTTGGCATCTAGGCTAAAGAGTTCAGTTAAGGAATGGCAATCCACAAGGATAAATCAGGGCAAGCTGGAGCCCAGCACACACGCATGCACTGGGTGCAGATCTTCGCTGTGACTCCTTTGTCTATGCAAGCTATCGAGGCTGTGCCTTTGAGGTTAGAAGCAGCACAAGCCTTTGGAAAACGTGTGTATGCCTGTATGACATCTCTGCTGCCATTCTTTGGCTTTTGTGTTTTGGCTACCTGCCACTGAAATGAATGGCTTTCAAATTGCTTGAAAAGTGAAATGGCACTTTTGTATAATTTTAGAACAAGGGAGCCACTCTTAATCTTTTTAAACTGACTTAGACACTTGTCAGTTATTTGAAGGGGTTTATAACTTTGTCACCTATGTAGTCGTTCAGGTTCTTAAAAAGCAAGTACAGTCGGTAACAGGAATACTTTTTGACAGAAAATGTAAGCACTAAAAACATTATTTAATTTGAACTTGATTCAGAGTATTAAGCACCTTCCTTCTGGGATTCAAACCTCCTTCCACAGGTTTGCTGGATTTATATGGTGGATAAAAGACACCAAGGACTTTCCCCCCAATTAACCTGAAATCATTTTTTCTTTATACATTTTCCAAATAACTTGTCCATTCATTAGAAGTTTTTCAATTTGGCTTAGTATCTGCAGAAAGCTATTTTTCATTGAACTTTAAAATTCAATTTTATTTATCATCCTTTTCATGATATACATAAATGATTCCGGAATCGGACTGAGTTATTTTCATCATGGGATAGGGAGTACATAACCCCCTGTATATTACCATATTTTGAAATGAAAGGATTTATAAGATCTGTGCAGAAGGTAAAAAAAAAAAAAAAGAAAAGAAAGTGAACGCTTTTAGCTTTTGTGTACTTTGGAAGTTACCAGCAGTTTTAGAAACACTTTTAGTGAAGCAGAAAAGAGAAGAGAAGGTGAAAAAGAACCCCACACAAATAAATAAAAAACATCTGGCCTGACAACTTGTATAAGTTCCAGACTCCTGCAACTTTAAATGGCCAAGCCTCAAACCTCTGAAAGTAGAGATTTGTAATGGAAATGCTAAGTGACCCTTAAAAGGCTTAAGGGGACATTGTCAAATAATTTAGGGTCAAATTCTGACCAAGTTTTAAATTGTCATAATCTAGTGGGAAATATCTTCCAGATTTAAAAATTTTTGATTTTGTAACTTTGCATTTATTCATGAAAATCCATGAAAACATAATAGGCACTGCTTCTTTAGAACAATCCCTTTGAATCATAAGTCAATAAAAATGAGCAAAAATTTTTCCCCATGATCAGATATGTATTGATGTACAATCCATGCTATTTCAACAAAGCCAACATTTAAGACATGTTGTCTAATGTTCCATCTCACTCAAGTGACACATACACATTGTAAACAAATACCTACATGCAAAAAACCCCAAAATTTAGAAATTGCAATATGAAGGGACAGTCAGTTGGTGGTTAAGGAGGCTGAATCCCACATGGCTGACCACTCGGTGCAAGTCCCAGACCCAGTGGCTTGGAAGACATCCTGTGTACATGTGCATTTATATCCAAAGTCCTGAAAGGAGGAAAAAACGGAGAAGAGATTGTGGCATGACACCCCCATAGGCAGTGCTTTCACTCTCCTCACACCCCACACTTCTCTCTGGCAAACATGCACACGCACCCTGGTAAATTAAAACAAATGCTTTGTTGTCATTAAATGTGGTAACTAAAAACCTTTAATTTGGTAGATCATGCTTTTGTGCTTTTCTTATATTTCCAGGCATTCCATGATAAAGTGCTATGTTGTATTGTTATGGCTATGTACTAATGAAATCAAGAAGAGTTAGTTGTCGTTTAATGTTTTCTTTTTTTTAATTTTGTGCCCTTATTTATTCCTAAAATTGCAATCAACTTTTCAACAGAGGTAAATTGGAGAACAAGAGGAATGAAATAAAGACAGACATTAAATTCTAAAGTTGCCAAAATATTTTATGCCATACTGAAACGACATGTGTAGTAATTATTTTAAGTCTGATATGGGTTGGGAGGGTTTAGAGAAAGAAAAAAAAAGAGAGAAAAGAGCATGAGAATAGAAGATTGTAAAGTGCTATTCCAATTAGGGGATGAGTGTCTAAAGCATTTGGAAGGAAGTAATTTTTCTTTTGTTTGAGTTTTTCTCCACCCTTCTATGGAACATCAGAAACTGGTCACTCCCAGAGGCAAAGTATAGAAATAGATAAATGTGTGTTCTGATATGAGATGGCAAATTGACTGTTCCTATATTTTTCTTATATCTGCTTCTAGTCAAGCATGGACATGCTGATGAGAAAATGCTTGGATTTACTGAAATCAAAGAATGGATGCTGGTGTGTGTGTAGTGTATGCTAGGCAGCTTGCAAAACAGATGTCTCCTTAACATCTCTTTTTTTTTTTTTATTTTTGGAGAGATTGGTAGAAGGTAAAAGACGAGTGTTGGTTACAGGGAGAGGCTTTGAAAGAGTTCAAAATTCAGAGCACTAAAACCATTCCCATGTTCTGCCATT